GTAAATTAAAGTCATCGTTTACCACAACAAAGACGGAGTTCTCAGAACATGTTGGTGGACTTTCTCTGTCAGTCTCTTGCTGTGATCTCGTCTCCTAACTTTGGGTCCCTCCCTGCCGGGGACGCCCAGAGAGAACCTGGGCTCAGGAGTTGGAGAAGGAGCCACGAGAAGCAAATACTCCTCTTCAAGCTACCACTTGCTTTCAGATGCCGCCCACTCATATCCCACAGAGCCCCACCAAAGCCAGCGCCTTTACAGATGAACAGACTGAGGTCCCTGCCTGCCAACTGAGGCCGAGACTACTGCACTGCAAGGGACGGGCTGACATCCTAGTGTTGCAGACCCGAGGGTAGGCCCTTTTGCTTCCTTTGGACACTCCAGCTCCATGGCAGGACCTAGTGCCTGTGCCCTGGCCTGGGGCCAGAAGTGGACAGGGGGACAGCCAGCTGGGGAGGGGGCAGAAAGCAGAGAAGGAGAAAGTAGGGCAGTGGCCCCCAGGCTCGTGGGCAAGACTGTGCGGGAGGTGGAGGAGACAGAGACCTGATGGCTTGAGTTCCTGTCATAGTTACTTTTCTCCTCTCTGAGACAAAATACCTAACACCCAAAGTCAAAAGAGGAAAGGTTTATTTAGCTCACAGCTTGTAGAGGTTTCAGTCCATAATCGGCTGGCTCCAAGGTGGGGTAGCGTAGCAGACTGGCACTGCAGAGAAGAAACAGTTTGTGGCGGGCAGAAGGTAGCAAGGGACCTTAGCAGCTTCTTGACACCCCTTTTATATGTCATCTAGGCTATGGGATGAGGGTGGTGCCTAACCAGTCAGCGGCTGATTTAGGACTCACACCCTTAATCCCAGCATCACACACTGTAGATCCAGCCACCTTTGAGAAACCCACCTATGACCACATGAGGGTTTGGTGGGACAGACACAACCACAACAGTCCCTCAGCACATCCAAGTCCCTTGTCCAGGTCTGCTGGAGTCATCCAACCTCACAGGATCCCCCGGAATCTCCTTCCTCCTCTCCCCTAGGGTGGTTGCTGGGTCTGCACACTGAGCACCCCACCCTAAGTGGTGACTCCCTCTCTGTAGCTCACTGTCCCCTACCTCCGTGTAGCCCTCCCTGGCCACCCCAGGGCTGGCTTCATCCTCCACAGGGGAAGGCAGATGTTCTCACACTTCCCGTGACACAGCTGTTTGAGGTTGCCACAGAGCAGCAGCCGCTGGTGGTCTGAACTGCGCTGCGTCTCCGAGGGCGCCCTTGCCCACCAGTGGGGTGCAGGCTGGCAGCCTCACACACAGCCTGAGGCCCCACGTGCACCCAGCCAAGCAGCTGCCTCCCATCCCTTTGAATCTTCATACCTGCGTCATGCACATTCTGCACCCTAAGGGCTATGAGCAGCTTCAAGGGAGAGATTTAAATGACACCAACTGAATTCTGCAGGGTTGGGTTGAGTTCTCTGCCAGGCCCTGCACAACTCAGAGGTCTTAGGTCCTGGCCTGCACACAGCGTGGTGAACACTTGAACAGAAAATAGACCTCACACTGCGTCGTCCCTCCCCATAATGGGGATGAGATTGTGTTAGCAGGAAGCACACTGGCGCGGAGTGTGCCCCTTTAGCTCAGCGCTGCTCCCCAGCCTCTCTCTCTACAGGACAATGCCGATGTGAGCCAAAGCTGTCTCCTGTGTACACATCTCTTCTTCACCTCAGAAACAGGCTCCCCCACGAGGAGGCCCCTGGAACACCCTTTACCCACTTTTCACATTTCCTCCCTGTTCACTCCTGGCACTAAAGTAAAGGTGCTTCTGGGTGGCACCAGTCAGAGAAGTGCCCAGGGACACCAGAAAACTCAGGGCAGTGTACGGAGCCGAACAGGGCGAATGGCAAAGTCTCTGCTGACCAAACTGAAAAGTGAAATATAGACCCGGACCACTTGGCAGCTTTGTACAGGGACCTGATTGGGGAGGTTGGGTCCTCCTGAAATGTGATCCGTGGACCTAAAAACTCCTCAAGGAAGCTTCCTCATAAAAAGGTACATTTGGTATCTCTTCCCCATTTTCTCCATAGATGAGGAGGTTGAGGTCCAGATGGAAGAAGCCTCCTACTCCACTCTGGTGAGGGAATCATTGATCGCCCAGACCTGCCCTCAGGGACCCCGCGATCTGGCCCCAGAGACAGAAGGAGGCAGAGAAGGTCAGGGAACAGGATAAGGCCTCTAATTTCCTGCCCCAGCAAACATGGCGGCTGCCCTGAAGGAGGTTTAACCGGCAGGGATTGGGAAGAGCAGACAGAGGGGCCCGGGGCAGCGAGATGGCCTGGCAGGAGTAAAGGGTACCCAGCTGAGCACCGCGGGCTTGAGGCTGCATACGGCAGGGGCGGGGCTCAAACGCCCGGAGGAGTTTGTGTCTGAGCCAGATAGAGGCCACACAGGAAGGGGGAAAGCCCTGGGACCCCTCTGGCAATGTTGCAAACTCACTGTGTGTCCATTCACCCAGGTCTAAAACAAGATCTGCAAGATTCCACACGGCCGGGATGCGCTGTCTGGGGCAGGAAGTGGGATGCGTCTCCTTCCCCTCCCTGCCTGCTCCCCACTCTGGGAAGGTGCGGGCGTGGGCACAGCAGTCTCCAGCCAGACCTGGTCCCAGCAGGAGCGCTGCAGGACTCCTTGTTCTGCAGGGCTTGGAGGAGCCAGAAAGTCAGCAAGGGCTGAGGCCGGGCCGCTCTGCAGGAGACGCGTGTGGAAATAGGGGTCACAGGTAGCAGCAGTCACGGGGCTGAGCACGTGAGAGGGGGCCATAGGAGCAGCGCGGACGATGGGGGGACAGATGTTATTGACCCAGTTTTAAGACGAAAAACTGAGCGTTCGTGAAGTTCGTTTTCCAAGATCGCTTGCAAAGAAAGTGACCTGACAAGGACCCAGGTCTTTCCTACCGCCAGACATGGTGCGAGACTTTACATCCTTGTGCTTGCCTGCGTCAAAAATGAAAATTCAGACGGCCTTTGTTGCGCGAGCACACTCGGCCTTGATGTGCGCAAAGCACACACTCGGGCCTGCTTGTGCGCGCCTTCCCTGATGCACAGCGCCCCCTGTGGCCAGAGATGGCCCGTGGGAGCCGCCACCCGTTCGCACCGCCAGACCCAGGGACAGAACGCGCTACTTGCCGCCTGCCTTGCAGCGCGCCCATTTGTGGCGCCGCCTCAGGAGCCACGGGGAGGTCGGCAGCAGAGGCCGAGGCTCGCTGCGTCCTGCTTTTTCTCAGTACCCGGAGCTCGCCCTGGGCAATCTTGAAGTCAGGTTTGAAGATAGCCTGCAGGACCCGCACCTGCAGGATGAGGAGGAAACAGCACGGGCGCAGGGTGGGCAAGGCCGGCCTGGCAGGGGCGGTCACCACCCGCCGGCCTGTGGGGAGCGGGGTCACAGGGAAGCCCTGGGTTCCTGTTCCAGGAGTGCTCCTGACTGAGCAGCAACGCCGGGGCAGGCAAGCAGGGTGGCCCCGTCCTCGGAGACCAGCAGGATAAGAGGAAAGGTGCACAGTCATCAGAAGATGGTGGCAGGAAGGTGGGACTGGGTTGTGGTCCAAGGCCCGAGATGCCCACGGCCTGGCCCTGGTTTCCTTCTCTGGTAAGTGGAGAAAATAAAATCGCCCCCGCACAGAGCTGTAGAAAATGTCAGGGAGCTCGCCAGCTAAGGAAGCGAGGGCTTTTCCTATCAGTAACAAGAAGAAAAGCTGTGGAAGGAAAGGCTCCTTCTTTCTGAGTTTGAGACAGGGTCTCACTGTATAATCCAAGCTGGCCTTGAATTCACAATCCTCGTACCTCAGCCTCCTGAGTGCTGGGAGTATAGGTGTGCGCCATCACAGCCAGTGAAATGTCTGTTTCTTTAGCTGCCTTTTCAGTTATCACTGACTCCTAAAGTACTAAATATATATATGACATACATAATAAATTATATATTTAATATATTAAAATATAGCCTTTTATGTTCTATATAAATTTTTATATTTAACATGTCATAATTGGTTTAGATTATGTATAAGTATCTATACACTTAGGTATGTGTGTACATGTGTGGACACACACGTATATGTTTGGAAAAATGAGAATGAAAGGCATTACAAGCGAGTGTGTTGGAACTCCCTCTCAGTAGCATGCAGGAAATAAAACAGTCTCCATGGTGAGTGCCCGGAGTCCCAGCAACTTCAGAGGCTGTGGCAGGAGGATCACTGGAGCCCAGGAGTTCGTGGCCAGCCTGGGCAGCACAGCAAGACCCCATCCCAACAAGAGCCAAGACAGTGCATGTGCCTCTCCTCTGGTGTTTCCCATTCTGTGACCCGGGGCATTGTCGCACTGTCTTGTGATTGCAAATCCAGGAAGCATGATCTCGGCCCCTGCAGGTACCTGGGCACTAACTGTGTCCCTGGTCTGTGCTTCCTGGAGAACTGCGGGTCTAGAGAGCCGTAGCTCCCCGCGTCTCCCTCCTCAGCCTCCTGCAGCGTGGACCCCACAGGCACTGAGCTCATACCGGTGCCTAATGGGGGGTGCACCCAGTTTATCAGAAGGGAGTGTGAGTCCAGAGTAGGGCTGAAGAGGAGATTTGTCCTCACGTATTAGCTGGAATTCAGCCCAAGCTGGAGGTCGGCAACACTGAAATAATTGGAGGTAAGAGCTGTGAGGCCAGTAAGATAAATTTTTGACATGAAAATGTAGGCTGGATCATAAAAGGTTGCAGTGACAGTAGGTTATAGTGACAACTTTTCAACAACTGTATAAGCCTCCAGATGGAGGGGGATTCGGCGAAATGAATCATGGGCAGGCGGGATAACAGCATTCTCTTCTAGGATGGGTCTAAGGGGAAAGCAGAACTACCAAGACCGGCCTGGACTGGATAACATTATCAGTACAGCAGGGGGTGGAGAAAGAACAGAAGGGTTGGAGGCTGAAGGACTCTTCTGACCTGCACATGGGGGTGTAACAGAAGCTCTGGCCCAGTGCACATTTGTGAGACAGTTCCAGGCCTCCCTGTGGAGGGGACCAGCTCCGCTGTTTGCACAGTTCTCTCCGCTGTGGTACATTGCCTCCCGTGACCACAAATGAGACAAGTGGAACCCTTCCTAGGTGGGATGTCCTGGAAAGGAGTGTCCTGCCCAGAGAGGAGCTCTGGGGAGGACTGGGACCCAACAGGCCTGCTCCCATGGACCTCTCCCTGCAGAAGTCCACCCTCCACTGCTGATCACGTCTTGTCACAGAGTCAGACAGAGGGCAGAAGCCACTGCCATGGCCACACTGAGCACCAGCAGTGCCTCCAAACCACTCGGCACTGTCTTATTTAAGACTTACAACAGGCCTATGCTGTAGATGTTATTCCCGTTTTACAGATGAGAACACTGAGGCCTAGAGAAGTTAGTCTACAGTTAGCAAATGCTCAAATCGTCTGGAGTTCAAGTTAGTCTACGTGACACACGCACACGCACACCTGCCAGTCTGGGCTCCTGGCCATTCACGGAGCTGTGCTGACCCACAAACACCCCCACACCAAAAGCAGAACATAAAAGTGTCAAAGGGAAAAGCCCTCAGGAATGCCTTCCCTCCTGACCACTGGGGCTCAGCGTGAGAGGGTACAAGATTTGCTTGGCTGATAAAATGCATTTTAAATGGGCTTTGGATGTGAGGAAACCACCCTTGATAGGAAAATGCCTGTGTTGGAGGCTGTGCTGTGGGTGTGTGCGTTTATAGGAATTTGTGTGCATTATTTGCTGATGGTCATCAGAGAAGATGGAGCCATTTATGCCAGGATGGGAGCAGAATCCCTACCTGGAGCGAACTGCACGCGTGTCCAGCCTCCCCTCCCAGCAAGCGTGCTTGTGAATGCAGGCGACCCCCAGTTGCCTGCCTAAGGTGAAAGCAGACCCAGTGGGGACCACCTGGGGTCCCCAGAGGGAATTCAGGACCAGTCCATCAGTGGGAGCGGAGCTGCCTTCCCTACCTCGCTGTGATTTCCTTCCAAAGTCTTCAGTGTTGGAACAAAGAGCAGGTTCCTCTAGGTGAGTCCAGGGCAGAGTGGGGCTGGGGGCACGCTTAGCTCGGAGAAGCCCAGGGAGAAGCATGAGTGCCCCTCTCCCACTGGCCACGTCACCTGTGGGTGCCGGGTTCTCAGCCTAGCTTGCTGCGCTGGCGGAGCAGCCCACCTAGTGAGACCGGGGATCCCCGCCCACAGCCTAGCAAGTCATTTGTCTGCACTGTAGCCCTCTCACAGAGCCGTGTCACCTACATGCTGAGCCCCCATGTCTGAGATACAGGTGGGGCTCCCTTCACAGCTGCTGCTTCCACATCAGGCAGTAAAGAAAGCTCTTAGGCCGCGGAGCCAGAGGGAGGCAAAAGGCAAGGGCTGAGGCAGGCAGGGGCAGATTCCAATGGCCACATAGTCAACACCCTGGGGATACCTTACGTAGGGGTAGGGGCGATAGCAAGGGTCCCGGGGGTGACCCAAAGAGCAGTGACCCAGAGGCTTGCTGGGAAATGGCACTCAGGGCCTTTTCATCCTGATGAGCCAGGCGACAGCCCATTTGGCCAGTCAGTGAGGCCTGATGTCACTGTCCCGACATCTCCTGAGTCACCGCGCCCCCTCCAGCCCCAGGGCCTGTGCAAGGCAGGCATGTGCAGTCTTTCTCCTCGGGCTTTTCTTAGTAACAGTGCTGGCCGTACACAGAGCCTCCTTGAAACATTCTGTCCTGGTCAGCCCCAAAGGCTGCCCTGACTCAGCGCGTCCACCCCCACTGAGAGGCTCCTCCTGCTGCCTGGATCCTGTGTGAGGTCAGGGGTACCTTTTAGGAGGCACAAGGGCAGCCAGGGAAGCCATGACCAAGGCTTAAAAGCAAATAAAAGTCCCTCACAGGCGAGGGACAGCTCCGAGCTGCTGTCCCAAGTGAAAGTATTTATTGCATGCTGGGTGCTTTGACTTCCTCCCCCTGCCATGGGAATCAAACTGAGGACCTTGTGCCTGCCAGGCAGGCATGGTTGTCACTCAGCTAAGTCCCCAGCCCAGGGTCCTTTCGCTTCTGGGTGGAAGAAAGAAACAGCATGAGGCTGGGTCTCAGGTGCTGCCCAGACCCACCAGGGTCAAGGGAGGAGGCACCCCATTGACTCCGAGAGGCCAAGAAGAAGCAGAGGGGCCTCCCAGCCTGGGCCAGCTTGGATTTGCCAGCAGCTTCACCGCCCCTGGAGCCCTCTAATTTTCTAGGAAAAACATGGCAGCCATGAATAAGTCAGTGAGTGTGAGGACAGCAGATCCTGGGCCTGGCCCAGTGGAGGGCAGCCGGGGTGAGGTCTCAGGTCAGGACAGTGACACCGCTCTGGGCAGTGACCCCTTCTCCAGGGCTTGAGGAAGCAGGTTCCAGGGAAGAGGTAACCTGGGCACAGCTCTCAGGATCCTGGAATCATGGGGAATGGCCAGCCTGTGGGAGGCGACCTGGCCTGCAGCCCGTTCACCTCTCACGCCTGGGTGGACGCCCTTCTCCAGAGGGGTCTGGGTTCCCACAGCAACACAGGGACTGAGCTCTGATGATCCGCTTGGCCCTGGGCCCTGAATTCTCAGAACCTCTGGCTGAACCTGAGCACTGTGTCTCAGAATAAAAATCCCAGACCCAGAACTGCAGGAGCTTGAAGGTCTTCCATAGCCACTCTATTGCAGGTGAGGGGAGCAGCCGCTGGACAGGAGCCCCAGTATCTCACCGTCAGGCCCCGATGCGGCTGTACACACTGTCCGGAAGGAAAGGGCATCACACTCTGCTCATCATGGTGTCCAGGACGGGAGCTGCTCTGCCCCCCAGCATGGCCCTGCCTGGTCCCTGAGGTACTGTGCCCAGAGGATTTGTGGTGAGGTGGTCAGTTCTGCAGGCTTGGGTCTGGGTACCTACAGGACAGGACTGACAAGGACCTGGTCATCAGAACCCCAGGTCTGGGGCAGCCCCAGAGGGGACCCTGTTGCTGCCTAGCACAGGGATCTGCACAAAGGACCGTTGTCTAGCTGGATGATAATGCCCGCTCTCTCTCCAAAACTGCGGCAGACGCAGCTGGTAACAGGCCACGCTGATAAGTGGTCCCACTGGGGCATGAGTGTCACCGGAGGAAAGAACCGCCACGATCAAAGTAGCCAATGCCCTGGGGGACAGTGTCCCTTCCAGGCAGCAGCAGGAGCCCTGGAGGTGGACACCGGGCACTCTTCCTTCTGGTTCCGACACTGAGCGTGCCTGAGGTCCCAGGCCCCAGGAGCACGGGCTGCCCATCTGCAAAACAGAAAGGCCAGGTCACTGGGTAGTATTAGTTCTTCACGTGAGTGTGAGCAAGAGGCGGGGTGAGAACAGAAAGACGGCCTTAGACACTGTCGCTCCACCCACCCCCTGAAGTCCGGGGCCCCTCTGGACACCTGGCTCGTCTCCCTTCTGCCCCACTGCGGCCTCCTCTCCACACTTTGGCTGATGTGAGCTCCCACCCCAGCCCAGTCTCCTGCCCTCACCTGAGCAGAGCCGCAGCCTGCTGAGCTGTTGTCCCCTCCGCCGGACGCCCCAAGACGGGGAAATGAGAAGGGCTGTGGGGCTGTCAGCTTGGGAATGGAGGGGAGGAAAGAGTAGGATAGACTGACTCAGGTCACCCCTGAGACCCTGCAGAGGGGCTGTGGGAGCAGCTGCCTGGCACCCAGGAGGTGCTCAGGATGCTGGGCCTTCTGGCTGCTGTGCGGGAGGTGCAGGGTCTCTGGCATCCTGTGTTGGGGTCGCCTGCCGTGATTTCGGTTCTGCCCTTCCCGCACTGCCTCTGCCACTGCCTTGCTGTTAGAAGTTTGTCTGTTCTGCCAGTGGGTCTGTGGCACAGTGTGAGGCGCTGCCTGAGAGTTCTTAAGGGAACCGCCCAAACTTCTGTGTTCACCCTGACCAATTTAACAATTAAAGTTTTGCTTTATGAAATTCCTTTCCTTATTAAATGCAATTAGCAGTTTTAACCTCCTGAGGCAACAAATCACTCACTGCTCGATATGATTTGGTTTTAGCACTGCTGCACCAAAACCAAGAGCAGAGGGGCAGAGGGAGAGTCTCTTACAGGGCTCTGGGTGGCCAGAGAGCAGGTGCTGTAGGCATGCCAGGGAGCAGGGCAGGAAACCGAAACCCTGCTGAGCTCACAGCCAGGGGCAGACAGGACCCTAGGACCCTAGAGACCCCAGAAGTAGATGGGGGCTTGTCTCAGTCCCTTCCGGCTGCTACAAGGAAATACTATCAGCTGGGCAACTTCTAAATAACAGAACTTTCTCACATTCTGGAAGCTGCGAAGTCGGGGGTCAAGACGCTGGCAGGTTCGGCATTTAGGGAGGACTGCCTCTTGGTTCATAGATAGCACCTGCCTGTGTTCTGGCCTGGGGAAGTGAGCATTCTGGCTTCTTGAGCCCCTTGTAAGAGCATTATTGCCATCCCAAGGTTTCCACCCTCATGACAGAATCACCATCCAAATGCCCCACCTGACCCAGTCACCTTGGGGATTAAGTTTTGACATCAGTTTTGAGGACACAAACTTTCAGAACCTAGCAGGACTCTGCCACTCTACAGATGAGAAGATGGCGACTCAGCTAGGACCAGCAAACTGCCCAAAGCACAACCAAGTCTGAGATAGGTCAGAGATTTCAATGAAGGTCACGCTGACCCCACAGTAGCATCTCTTCCCTCTGCCCCCTGCAGACCTACCAAGATTGACACGTGCAGAGCAGCATACAAAAGGAGGCGGGAGACTGCCTGCGATCCATTTCAATTCTGAGTCTTGGACCAACTGGAAAAGTTACTGTCCTTGAACGTCCAACATCACGTCATAGCCAGAGAGTTAGCTCAGTGGTTCTGCCGCCTGCCTCATAAGCACAAGGTCCCGAGTTTGATCCCTGGTACCAAAAAATAAATAATAATAAAAAATGAAATGAAATAAAATCACATCATACCTTATCGTACATATACCTGGTACCTCGTCGCTTAGGGGGCTCTGGGTCTGCTTCTTGGTGAGCCAGGCTGTGTTGTAATGTGAACTGCCATTCTCCCAATTTGTCTGTTTGGTCAATTTAGATTCTCACATCCTTGTCCCTTTCCAGGTACCTTGAATTGATCCGGGAGAGGGAGGGAGGGAGGCAGTCAGGATGATACTCTAACCCCAAGCTTCTCAGTAATTGGCCCAAATTGTCACCTTCTGGTGTCCACACAAAAGCAGTAAACTCCATCTCTACTCCTGAGGTGACAGGGAGAAAAAGCCACGACACAGAAATCACTTGGAAGATGTTACCGTATACAGAAGGGAGTAAAGTGTCAGTAAACATTAGAGCAGCAGTACCTGCTTGTGAGGTTTTAGTCTTTTTGCTTTGCTTTCTCCTGGATGGATCTCTAGCTTCCTGTCTGTACCAGGAGCCCCACACCCTGTGTGTCTCGCCTACCATGTGAATCACAGTGGGAGGCTTCCGTTTTCGTGGCTCTTTCTTCCCCAGCAAGACTGTGGCCTCCGTGAAGGAAGCCTGGTCCTCTTCCTCTTTTTCTTATCTTCCATGCCTGGGATATCATAGGAGCTCAGAAAATGTTTGCTGTTTTGTTTTATTCAAAGTTAGAGCTATAATTCACAAAATACACACCTCACTTTGACTCTGGTAAATTTGTCCTTTAATTGAAATGCATTCATTTGGAGAAAGCGATGCTGATGAGAGCCAGATAGCTGGAGCATTGGTGATTTTCTAAGTGCTGTGGGCCCTTAGGATGTGACTTTCAATATGGAGCAGTTAGATACCAAACCCATTGGGGGAGGCACTGAGGATTATCCATTCTCACACAGAGCGCTCAGTACCAACCCCAACTGATTATTAATTAAAAATTCTAAATCATGCAGTTGGTTTTTTTCCCTGCAAATTCTTGTATGCTCTGTTTTATTTATCACCATTCGTAATAACAATAACATTAATAATAATAGAACCACTGTGTGATTAAGGTGCAGATAAGCAATTAGCAACCAAAATATTTACAGATTTTTAGAGAACCAGAACCTTGTGCTGGGAATGGAAATAATGGAAAGAGACTAATTACAAAGGAAGTTAATATGAGCACTGGTTCCAGAAGATTCTACAACTGGGAGTTGAAGTCAGTCTCCGGGTTCTATTTTGTCTGAGATTCTATGGACCTGTTCCTGTGATACCAATAAAGCAGTCACTCATTTGTTCGACATACATGCGTTAAGGGTCTTGAATATGCCGGGCAGTATGGTAGACGCTGGAGATGAGGTAGTAAGTTAAACAGTGCCCACTTTCGTGGTCTTGGGGGTCACAGACAGATGCTCTGTCACAGCAGTGGTGTTGGTGGGTGCTGCATGCTATGAGGTAGCTCTCCCCGTGGAGATTTGGTTAAGAAGAAACCTGGAGCTAGGTGGGAAATATCCAGATGAAAATGGACAGTGGAAGAGAGAGAGTTCCCTGGAGAGGCTGAGGGATGAAACCAAGCTCAGGACTGGAAAGTAGTTCAGTCTTTTCCCCGGAGACAGGAGCTGTCAGGGAAGAGCTGGAGAGACAGGTGTGGTCACATCCCGAGGACAGGGAAGGCTTCTCTTGGGATAGAATTTGTCTCTGGCCGGTTGTGCGGTGAAGGGATGGGAAACGAGCACCAGTGTGGAGCCGGGTGCAGGGAGCTGTGATGGTGCCAGCCTGGAAATCTTGGGGAAAAGGGAAATGGGACAATTCGAGACATTCAGGACAGATAATGACAATGAAGACGACAAATAGTTGGGAAGCTTTGACCACGTTCTGGGACGGAGTGCAAGCACTTGGCGTGTTTATTTGGGTCGGTCTTTAAACAAAACCTGTGAGATGGTTGTCTATGAGCCTCATTTTACGGGTGAGAAAACAGAGAGCAGTAACAGGAGCCCAAGACTGTGCCATTAATTAAGTGGCAAATGTGACTCAGACTCCTGTTTGATTTAAGCTCAGCCCGCTGTCTGAATCCAGAGCCCACTGTCCAAATGACTACACTGAGCGACCTGGGGGTAGCAGGTCTGGCAAGGAAGTGAGGGCTGAGCAATGAGCTGCTCGTGTGACTAATGCATCTAGGAGGACCACAAGCAGTGGACAGCCCCCATCCCTTGCTGGTCATCTCTCTGCCCAGGCAGCCTGGTTAGTCAGCTTTCCAGGACTGTAACAGAATCTCTGAAGTAATTCACTTGGGAAGACAAAAGGTTTGTTCTGACTTACGGTTTTAGAGGTGCCAGTCCGTGATCAGAAAGACCCACTGCTTGGGGCCTGTGGCGGGGATGCCAGCTGGCAATGACAGGGAGTCTGTCACACAGCAAACTGCTTACTTTGTGGTCAGGAAGCAAAAGAGGAAGGGCAGGGGTCCCACCATGGCCTTCAAGGGCACATCCCCAATGACCTAAGGACTCCACCCCTAAAGTCCACACACCTTCCAGTGGTACCACCCTAGAAACTTGGCCTTTACCGCATGGGCCTTCAGGGCACAGTCATGCAAACCATGGCAAGACCCTTTCTTCCTCCCTTCTAGCTGGATATTAGTGGTCGGGGGCTGCCTGGGCTGGGGCTGAGGAGATGCTGTCCCTCGGTTTGCTGGGCCCTTGGCCTGGCTCATGCTGTCCTCCCAGTGCTGAACTACACCTTGACACCTTTCTTCTGGTGTGGCCTGTAGAGCCAGCTGATGTCCCAGCTCCCTATCTTGTTACCTCCTGAGCCAGCTGTTCTGGAGAACCTGCTGCTTTCTGAGCAGTTTCATGGATATCTTCTTATTTCTCCCAGAATACAGTTCGTAATTTGGAGCTTAGGAGGTTACAGAATACACTGCATGAAGCAACTAGTTTGAAAACAGAGAAATGTCCATTTCGTTTCCCCTCGGCTGCCTGCTTGCATCTACCCTGTGGGACTTCGGTGGCTTCTGATCCCGAAATTCTCCCTTTCATCAGTTAGCAGATAGCAGGTCGTTCCTTGTCATCACTCAGGCTTGGTCCTAGGACAGGAAAGGAGCCCTGTGGAATGGAGGCAGGTGCTGGGCAGTGCTGCACAGAAGCCCCAGGTCCTGTCTCCCATCTCGCTGCAGACTTGGCACAAGACACCTTCCTTTCTGAACCGCATCTGCCTCTACAAAAGTAGAAATGCCAATTCCCACTTGTTGCCTAAATCTTTGCAGCTTTGCAGTCATACAATATATCCCTGTATTCATTCGCCAGCTATTTACTGAGCACCTGGTATGCGCCAGGTACACTTTCACGTGCTTTGGAAAGAATAGTAGATAAGGCAGACAAAACTCCCTACCCTTGTGGGGCTTACATTCTAGTGCATGGAGAGACAACAATGAAAATAAGTAACAAAAGTATGTAGTAGGTTAGATGGTGATAGATGCTAGTGAGTTTCATGTTTGAAATGGTCAACTGGAAAATCCAGGCCAAGCCTTCTGCTGAAGACCATCATCGTGAAGGCACTGGAGAGCTAACGAGATAATGAAATGTTATCAGACCAAGGTCTGGGGAAGGGAAGAGGCCCATGGAGGTTAGCCTCATGTTTACAGCCAATTTTCCCTTTGAATTATTTTCCATCTCTGAAGAGACAGCTGAGAGAAGAAAAGGATTCTTTTTTTTTTTCAGCTTTAATTGAGTTTATTGGTACATTTTAGGGATACAGTACAGTTACATTCATTGTTGGGATCTTGTACCTCTACATGACAAGTCTTGATTCTCATTTTTTCCCCTTACCCCTGCCCTCCCTTCAAGAAAAGGATTCTTAACACCAGGCTGTACAGAGTTAGAGAGCCCCAAAGGGAATCCAGAGTCAGGAGGGGCGGGGGGCAAGTGCTTACGGTGACCCCTGTGGAGGCCATACCTAGGCTCTCTCTGGAGCTGCATCTCTGTTTCAAATCATCTTGAGTTAAGGGCTCAGGTGCTCCCATAGTGCTACTGTGCCCAGGTGCCCCACAGAAGCAAATAAACAGTCTCAGAGGGAAGATATCATCATGCTAGTCTTCAAATTATTTCTAAAAGTAGTGCAAAAAGACAGAATCTGGAATACAGCAAAGATAAAGACAAGACACAGGAGATCACATTAACAAGCATCCCCAGAAACAACAGAAAATAAAAACAGATCAGTAGGGCCTGAGATATATTGAAGTTATTAGTTTTTTTTTAAATAAGTATTTTAAATGACTATGCCAACAGACAAAATTTAGTTTTCAGCTGAGAATCTAAAAAATACATTTCTTTAAAGAACCAAATGTGGATAATTTCATAACACTCCAAACTAAGAAACTCAGTGAAGAATTTAACAGCTGTAACTGAAAAGAAAATTATAAACTCAAAAAATTGATAAGAAAAACATCCAGCATTAAGTACAGAGAGAAAAGAAAAAAAAATATGGAAAGGAAAGAAAGAGACACAGGAGTTAGTATGAAAAGATCCAAAATATCTATAATTAGAATTCCAGAGAAAATGAGTAAGAAGCAATATTTCAATTCAACATTTCTAAACTGTTAAAAGAGATCAGGTCACATATTTAGGAAGCACTAAAACTCCAAGCAGGGTTTTCAAAAAATCCACACCAGGCCACTCATACTAAAACTGTTGAAAACTAAAACCAGAGAAAAATCTAAAAAGCAGAAGGAAATAATTACTTTTAAAGGTTCAATAACTAGACATGCAACTGACTTCTCAACAGGAACATTGGACATCAGAAGACAATGGAATGTCATCTTTAAAGTCTGCAAGAAATTACCAGTTTAGAATGTTACGCCCTGTAAAAATACTCTTAGGACAAAGAATATAAGTGTGATTTTTAAAAAGAAGACATTCAAATACTGAGAT